GGTGTTAAAACAGTTTGTGGTCAGTGGCTCGAGAAGGAAAGGTGGATGATAGCAGGTTTTTAATAAGGGGAAAGTTTTTTAACTAATAAAAATTCATAACGTCCGGATTACTAACTGAAATGTGCAAGAGAATTGGTTACCGAAGAAAGTGTCTACCAATTTTTACATGTGTATATACGACTATATTCTTATATGTTAAGTGAGAAGGTGTCGTTGCATGAAAAGTTCACTATGGTTCATGAGTGCAAAGGGAAGCCGTTAACAAACAAAGCAAAAAGACAAGCTCTGCGGTGTTTTTCTGTCAATGTTTTTCAATCTTGGTCTGTAATAATAAACAGCTTCTGTTTCTGATATGCACATAAAAATATATCACAAAGCTTTTGTTTCTTATACTCAATCAACTCCCTTTCTTACCTCCCTGCTTCACTTTCTCACCGCCCTCAAACCCATTAGCGACATAGTAGAAGTACAGTCTTTTTCGACACTTATTTCCATTAACAGCTGCTCACACTCCATAAAATTTGTCAGATTCAAAGGAACTCAGAATTTCAGAAAAGGGATTTAGGGCACCTCGGATTTCTGGGATTTAAATTAGCTTCCCTTGTGAATCGAAGCTTTTGGTGGTAGAGAAGGGTGAGAGCAAGATCGATACTCAGCGAAATTGAGTCTAAACGCAAGAGATTCAAGAATAGAGAAATCTAGGGACTTTTAGGCCTCGTGAGTCGGGAAGGGGAATTCATAAAGGAGGAATTTTCAGATTATATTTAAGAATGGATTTTAATTGTTACATTTTCTAATGTATTTTTAATTTAATTCATTTAATTGATTGGGTATTTTGGTCTTTATATTACCTTTTCTTTCTTTCTTAGTTTTGTATGTTATTCTAGTCATTACATAAATAATGTATGTTATTATAAGTAATTTCTCTTTGTATTTTGATAATAGTTTTGGAACATTGAGACTGCATTTATATCTACTCTATTAAAATATAATCTTTCTTTTTATCTACTAATATAAGTTGTCATTTAAATTTGGACTCTTTCTAGAGTGTTACAAATAATACAACACATATAATTAATTGAACCGTATTACTTAAATTAAATTGGTGGTTATTTATGAGATATAGTATTGAGCTTACTTTTGTTTTAGTATAAATGATATGATTTGGTTTTGGGCTTAGTATCAAGGAAAAACTCCAAAAAACAATGAATGAATTTTCCACCTTAATGTATAAAAAAATCAATTATTATTTTCAGGCTCAAATGTATTTAATATTTTTAACAAAACACAATTGTCTATTATTAATCATTTATTTAAATCATGTACTTTAAAACATGTTAATGTGTTTTTTATTTTAAATAACAATCACTTTGTTTTGATAAATTTCAATGGTAACTTTTAAATAATTATTGTTTTATTTTTCTTAAATAATTTACTGATTTAAAAATAAAAAATAAAGCAAAACCAAAAACCAAATTTAAAAACTAAAATCCAAAACCAAAAGTTGAAAACACAGGTTATATTTTTTGCTTTTGTTTATTTACAAAATAAACTATAGCAATTTTTTTTATAAAAAAATTGTCACCTTTTTTATTTATTTAAATTAGATGTTCGATCATTTGGGATTTGTTCGTTGGTAATATCAGTCCAAACTATATTAGCAGATCTAAAAATTAAAAACTCAAACCAAAACTTGAAAATCAAAAATAGAAACTTAAAAATTAAAAACCAAAAACTAAAATTTTTAAAAAATCTAAAAATAAAAACTGAAACCAAAAACTAATGTAAAAAAATCATCACCACAAATTTTGGTGGACTGATTTTATACCAAAACATTCTTTAAATTAATACAAACCCAATTATATAATTTTTTAATCAAAATTTGTACTAACAATTTGGACCCATCTATATAGTGTTACAAATAATACAAGCTATCTAGTTAATTGAACCGCATTACTTAAATTAAACCGGTGGTTATTTATGGAATATAGTATTGGCTTACTTTTGTTTTTAGTACAAATTATATGGTTTGGTTTTGGGATTAGGATTAAGGAAAACTCCAAAAAACAATGAATAAATTTTCCACCTTAATGGATCAAAAATCAATTATTATTTTCAGGCTCAAAGGTATTTAATATTTTTAACAAAACAAAATTGTCTATTATTAATCATTTATTTAAATCATGTACTTTAAAACATGTTAATGTATTTTTTTATTTTAAATAACAATCACTTTGTTTTGATAAATTTCAATGGTAACTTTTAAATAATTATTTTTTTATTTTTCTTAAATAATTTACTGATTTTAAAAATAATATAAAGCAAAACCAAAAACCAAATTTAAAAACTAAAATTCAAAACCAAAAGTTAAAAACACAGGTTATATTTTTTGCTTTTAAACATTTACAAAATAAACGATAGAAATGTTTTTTAAAAAATTGTGGCATCTTTTTTGTTTATTTAAATTAGATGTTCGATTATTTGTGATTTTTTTGTTGGTAATATATGTTCAAACTAACTCAGCTGATCTAAAAATTAAAAACCCAAACCAAAAGCTGAGAATCAAAATAGAAACTTAAAAATTAAAAACCAAAAACCAAAATTTAAAACAAAAACTAAAAATAAAAACTAAAACTAAAAACTAATGCAAAACAATCATCACCACAAATTTTGGTGAACTGATTATACACCAAAACATTCTTTAAATTAAGACAAAATCCAATTATATAATTTTTTAATCATAAAAAATTTTCGTGCTTTTTCAAAATCTAGTTTTATATTTTTTTAGGAAATGAAAGATTTCAATCCTGTAAGTTAGAAAATATTAGTTTGATGTAACACCTACTATTTATAAATAAACTCATATTTTTTTTTTTGTAAATTCTTTTATTAAAACTAATCTCTGTTATTAAGATCAAATTGTTCCCATGGACCCAATTTTTTTAAGTTTTAAAATTAAATATACACTTCTATTATATAGTTGAACTTATCCACATTAATTAATTAATAGACCTTCATTTATACTACTACTAAATGTGTTTCCAATCAACAAAGTAATTAATTTTATTTTGCAATTAAACAATATTAAACTTTATATCCTATATTTTATATATATATATATATATATATATATATATATATATTTTATTGATTCATCTAAAGCATTCAATTCATTTATGAAACAAATTAAAAAATAAGTATAACTATTTTTGGGAGTTCAGATACTGCAAAATAATTTTGTTTAATATATAATTAATTAAATTAATGGATTATTTTATTTATACTTTGATAAATAATTCTTCTTTTATTTAAACTTAATAAACTTTCCTATTAAATTCACTTTGCTTAGATTGTTTTTATTATTAATAGAATATAACTATTAATGCGAGATTATGCTTAGTTTAAGTTGACAGTGAATAAGTTTTATGAAAAAATGTTATAGTCAATAAATTGACATAAAATATGTTTTATAAATAAAAATTGATCAAATAAGTATACTCCATATCACATAATTAATCAAACCAACTACAGAGATTTTATTAAACATTTATAACAAACAAGTTGAAATAATATATATAATAACAAAATTAAGTAATATATAATTTGCATATTAATATAAATACTAATGATATAATTATATAGTTTTCAAATAAGTTAAACTTAAAAATTTTAAACTATATTTATCAAAAAATATTAAAATATATTATTATTTTTTTACATGAAATTTTGATAAAAGTATATTCGCACATTTGTTGCTATGTTAAACGCATATCAGAATCTATTTATATTTAAGAGTGAAAAAAAATAGTAGCACTTAATGTAACTACAATATTATTTTAAAGGTTAGTTTATATTGGTATTTTAACCTTTTTAATAAGATAGATGACAGATTTGAAAACTAAAATGATGGCACTTTTTTTTTTTGAATACTTGTAAAATTTATTCAAAGAAAACTAATTAAATTTGGTACATCACGTGTAGCTGTTTAGACCTTACTGACTTTTACAAGAATAGAAGATCAAAATTGTTTGAAAACAGAGTCTACGCCCTTGAAGGGGCAGGAAATGTGTTTGCGTTAATCATGAGCCAATCCAACATGACCGCATTATACATGCATGCATTGCATGTCTCGCCTCGAAGAAGAAAAATAGAGAAATGGTAGAAGCGTAAATAATAGGTACAAGAGTCAAATGAAAGTTTGACCGTGATAAAGACAATCTGAAGAAAAGCAAAGAAATCGCCTTGAGTGGCAGCAGCGTAATAATCCTAACAAAAAGAAAAAAAAAGAAGATAGATACTCTCTCTCTCTCTCATTCGTCTCCTCAAAGTTAAAGAAAACAAAATTTTCCTCTGCCCATAATTGGTCTCTTCTCTCTCTCCCCCCCCCACATAAGTCCAAACCAAATCACTTTTCTTCTTTCTTCAACCTCTCTCGCTCGCTTCGATTTTCAATTACACACAGAGATATTTTCTTCTCATCTCCGGAGCTTCGATTTGTAGGTTAGAAATGACCTGGTAGCTTCGATTACTCCGCGATTGTTTTATTTGACGACTACTTTCTTTGTCTGATACTTCCACTGGATTTAGTTTAAGTTTTTTATTGCATAATAGATGATGAACTCATCATCATAAACGTAAACTCTTTTTTCGTTGTCGATGATGATGCTTTTTTACTGTGAAATTTACATGTTCCCTTGATTTCTTTTTTCAAACTGGTGATGGCTCGTTGAGGTTTCGATCATTTCACATCTGATTTATTTGCAGTTCATCCATTGTTTGTTGATCAGATTATTCAATAAAGTAGTGAAAAGAGTTTTATAAGGTAAAATCAAGGCCTTGTGTTGTTTTGGCTCTTCTAACTAGTTTTTATTCACTATGATTTACTATGAAGTCATCTTTTATTCTCATGTTATTCAGATATAATGTCATCAACTGCTTTGAATCCTCTCAGAATTATACATGAATCTTTTTTTCTCTTTTCCATACAGGCCAAAAACCCCCCAGTGATTCGATTCTGATAGAGCTCAAAGGAAGATTTGGGATAAAAAAGGGTAAGAGAATCTAGAAACTCCTCCCTGTTTTTACCCTTTTACTAGTTCTAGTTTTGCTGTATTATGCTAATTTAAGATCGGATCAAGTTTGGTTTAGTTGAAACTGTATTACTCTTATTTATGTCATCATTTGTTACAAGGGTAACATAAGAACAAAAAGTAGTAACAACTCACATTTTCTGAATATTATAATTCTCTTTTTATCGTTTCTAGAGGTATATGTGCTTTTCCAAACTTGCTGAGCTGGCTCCACATGGCATTTCTTGTCTCACCCAATACTATGCCGTTACCAACTTAAACCTGGCACTAATAAAAGGGATTAGCGTTAATCAAACTTGTTTAATTCTTTTTCATTTTGCATTTACATATTTTTTGTATCTTCTGTTTATAATAAACACCTTATCACTCGGTAAGCAGTCAGCACTAATAAGAAAAAATACACAATGATGCAAGGCTTTGGATCTATAAGAATGAGATCTACCGATGTTCTTTGCGGGTCCCAACAATTACATTATTGTCTGGAAAACTCTTATTGTCTGTATACCTTGTCTGAGTTCTATTATTGTTATATTATCTCTCTGCTGCAAACCAAGATGCGAACCTATGCTCTGAAAGCCAAATTGATTAGTATTGGTTTAGTAATGTGGTACTAGTATTATATTTTTAACGACCATGAATATGAAAAGGATGGTACCTCTTTGCCAATTAATTAATGGCATTTATTTTGAACAAAGTTAGTGTTGCTAGTCATAACGTCTCTTCTGATATGTTTCTCTTTGTTCTGTGCAAAGACAGATCGTGTCTGATGGAGTTTCAGAGATGAATGAATATTTGGTTCTCGAAACCTCTTATTGTTATGTTGCCTCGACAAATGATATTTGGTTGAAGAAATAAATCCAGAGAAACCCGAAGAAAAGAAGATATGAGAAAGCATCGGTTTAGAGAGACATTGAAGTCTTTCTTTGAGCCTCATTTTGATCATGAGAAAGGCGAAATGCTTAAAGGAACAAAATCTGGTAATTTTCCTACAATACTAAGTTTTGTTTCACATGTGCGATGAAAACCGTAACTCTTGTTTTAGTAACTGATTACATGAAAAGTATTCTCATCATCTGATGCAGAAATGGATGAAAAGGTGCAGAAAATCTTGGGAATGGTTGAGAGTGGAGACATCGACGAAGATAAATCTAAAAGACAAGTGGTTTCAGAGCTAGTGAATGAATTCTACAACGCGTACCAGTCTCTATATCGCAAGTACGATGATCTAACGGGAGAGATTAAAAAAAAGGTCCACGGGAAAGGAGAAAGCTCTTCTTCATCGAGCTCAGACTCTGATTCTGACCATTCTTCGAAGAGGAAGACCAAGAGAAATGGAAAAGTAGAGAAAGATGTAGAGTCTGTAACAGATGGGCAAATCGAAGCTGCTAATCTTGAAATTGCTGATCTGAAAAAAAAGTTGATACTGAGTGTTGAAGAAAAAGAAGCAGTAGATTCTGAGCTTGAAGCAGCTTTGGTGAAGTTAAAAGAATCAGAAGAGATCATCAGTAATTTGAAACTTGAAAATGAAAAGTTAGAGGGCGAAAAGACAACAGCACTGAGTGATAGCAGAGAACTACATCAGAAACTGGAAGTTGCGGGAAAAACAGAAACTGATCTGAGCCAAACTTTAGAAGATATGAAAAAGGAAAAAGATCAACTGCAAACTGAAATAGATAATGGTATCAAAAGATTTCAAGAAGCTGAAAAAGTTGCAGAAGACTGGAAAACAACGAGTGATCAGCTCAAAGATGAGGTTGCTAATTTCAAGCAGCAGCTAGAAGCATCAGAAAAGCGAGTTTTGGATCTGACCTGCGGAATGGATAATGCAGAGGAAGAGAACAGATCTCTATCCTTGAAAGTTTCGGAGATTTCAAGTGAGATCCAACTGGCACAGAACACTATACAAGAACTCACTTCCGAATTGGGAGAGATGAAGCAAAAATACAAGGAAAAAGAGAGTGCGCATTCTAGTTTGGTGGAGTTACATGAGACACACGAGAAAGAATCATCGAGCCAAGTGAAAGAACTAGAAGCACGAGTAGAATCATCAGAGAAATTAATTGCAGATTTGAACCAAAATTTGAATGATGCAGAGGAAGTGAAGAAACTGCTCTCTCAGAGAATCTCAGAAATCTCTAACGAGATTCAAGAGGCGCAGAACACCATACAAGAGCTCATGTCCGAGGCTGAACAGTTGAAAGAGAGCCACTGTGTGAAAGACAGAGAAATGTTCGATTTGAGGGACATCCATGAGACTCATCAGAGAGAATCATCCACCCGAGTGAGTGAATTAGAAGCACAACTAGAATCATCAGAACAGAGGGTCTCTGAGTTGAGTGCAAGACTGAGTGATGCAAAGGAAGAAAGCAAATCCATGTCCTCGAAGATCTTGGAAGCTACAGACGAGCTCAAACAGACGCACAACAAGGTACAAGAACTGATGGCTGAATTGGCAGAGTCGAAAGAGATACACATACAAAAAGAGAGTGAGCTTTCTAGTTTGGTGGAGGTACACGAGGCACACAAGAGAGATTCGTCAGGTCGAGTGAAAGAATTAGAAACACTGGTTGAATCAGCAGAGCAACGAGTTAAAGATTTGAACCAGAGCCTGAACAGTGCTGAGGAGGAGAAGAAGATGTTATCTCAGCGAATTTCAGAAATGTCGAACGAGATCAAGCAGGCGGAGAACACCATACAAGAACTCATGTCTGAGTCCGGACAGTTAAAAGAGAGCCACAATGAGAAAGACAAGGAACTTTTCAGTTTGAGGGATATCCATGAGACTCATCAGAGGGAATCATCCACTCAACTAAGAGATTTAGAAGCGCAACTGAAGTCATCTGAACAATGTGTTTCGGATTTGAGCGAAAGCCTGAAGATTGCAGAGGACGAAAAGATATCCATGTCCACCAAAATCTCAGATATTTCAGAGGAGCTTGAAAGGGTGCAGATCACATTACAGGAACTCACAGTTGAGTCAAGCAAACTAAAAGAGCAGCTTGCTGAGAAAGAAGCAGAACTTTTACATGTGACGGAGAAGGAAAGTAAATCACAGGTGCAAATAAAAGAACTAGAAGCAGCAGTAGCGACCCTTGAGTTGGAGCTACAGTCAGTTCGTGCCCGGACAGTAGATCTTGAGACAGAAATTTCAGGAAAGACCACTGAAGCTGAGCAACTGGAAGCGCACAACAGAGAAATGGTTGCTAGAATCTCGGAACTTGAGAAGACAATGGAAGAGAGAGGAACTGAACTCTCTGCTTTAACCCAAAAACTTGAGGGTAACGAGAAGCAATCATCATCCACAATTGAGAGTTTGACAGCTGAGATTGATGGCCTAAAAGCAGGACTAGATTCAGTGTCTGCTCAAAAAGAAGAATTAGAGAAGCTAATGGAGAGCAAAGGCGATGAAGCTGCAATGCAGATTAAGGGTTTGGCGGATGAGATCGATGGTCTCAGCCAGAAAGTGGTCTCACTTGAAAGCCAGAAAGCAGAACTAGAGATCCAACTTGAGAGGAAGTCTGGGGAGATCTCTGAATATATGAGTCAGATCAAAAATCTAAGAGAGGAGATCAAAAGCAAGGTCAAAGATCACGATAATATTCTTGAAGAAAGAAATTGTTTATCTGAGAAAATCAAGGGTCTTGAATTTGAGATAGAGACTTTACAGAAACAGAGAGGTGTGCTTGACGAGGAGCTAAGAACTAAAACAGAAGAGATCCTTCAAATGCAGGATAAGATAAACGAAGCTTCTGCGGATACAGTGGCCTTAACAGAACAGATCAACAGTCTGCAGCGTGAACTTCATTCTCTGCAGGTGAAGAAGAGTGAAACCGAATCAGAGCTTGATAGAGAGAAGCAGGAGAAATCAGATTTGTCTAACCAGATCATCGATGTCAAAAAAGCATTGGTAGAGCAAGAAGCTGCTTACAATACGCTGGGAGAGGAACACAAACAGATCAACCAACTGCTAAAAGAACGTGAGGAAACACTTAATAAGCTAACAGAGGATCACAAAGAAGCCCAAAGATTATTGGAAGAGACAGGTAATGAAGTAACATCCAGAGATTCTGCAATCGCAGGTCATGAAGAGACAATGGAGAGCTTGCGTAACGAGCTGGAAATGAAAGGAGAAGAGATAGAAACTCTCATGGAGAAGATCAGCAACATCGAGGTTAAGCTACGTTTATCGAACCAGAAACTGAGGGTAACCGAACAAGTGCTAACAGAGAAAGAGGAAGCTTTCAGGAGAGAAGAAGCTAAGCACTTAGAGGAGCAAGCACTGCTTGAGAAAAGTCTCACGGTGACTCATGAGACTTATCGAGGTATGATAAAAGAGATATCAGAGAAAGTGAACACAACACTAGATGTCTTTCAATCAATATCGGGAAAACTCACGGAGAAGCAGGGGAAGTACGAGAAAACGGTAATGGAGGCATCAAATTTACTGTGGACTGCGACGAATTGGGTGATAGAGAGGAATCACGAGAAGGATGAGATGAAGAATGAGATGGAGAAGAAAGAAGCGGAAATAAAGAAGCTTGGAGAGAAAGTAAGAGAAGATGAAAAGGAGAAGGAGAGGAAAGAAGAGGAAATAAAGAAGCTTGAAGAGAAAGTAAGAGAAGATGAAAAGGAGAAAGAGAGGAAAGAAGAGGAAATAAAGAAGCTTGGAGAGAAACTAAGAGAAGATGAAAAGGAGAAGGGGAGGAAAGAAGAGGAAATAAAGAAGCTTGGAGAAAAAGTAAGAGAAGATGAAAAGGAGAAGGAGACGATGAAGGAGACTTTGGTGGGACTTGGAGAAGAGAAAAGAGAAGCAATAAGGCAATTATGTGTGTGGATCGATCACCACAGAGGTCGCTGTGAATATCTTGAAGAGGTTTTGGCTAAGACTGTTGTGGGTCGAGGGAAAAGACAGTCACAACGAGCCTGAGAGCTAGCGCCATCATCAGAGACAGTATGGTACGTTGCTTTTCTTTCTTACCTCACATGAATGCAAACAATGTATTATGTTGTTCTTAGGTTTTGGGTTTTGGTCAATCAGGAAGCTGGACTTCCGGAAAACTCTGGGCTGAGAGTATATTTTTGGTCGACTACTTTTGTGTTTGTTGTGTTAGTGTGATTGTATTGCATTACTCATCTCTCCCTTGTATTTTCTTTTGCTATTGTTTATTATGAGCAGAATTTGGTGGTGGGATTAAATGGGAATAATGGGCATACTGCAAATGAATTTGATATCATATTTTTGGAGGGTGTGATATTGTACAGAACGATTAATCAATGTTGTTGATGTAGTGTTTTTTTGTCTTTGGTATTTGTTAAATACAAATGATTTTTGTTCTTGGTAAAAATAATAATCATACACATCACTTAGAATCATCGGGATCATTTCTTGATCTCCAAGTTATGGTCCCTTTAAATGATATGTACTTGGTGGTACTATGATTTCAAAATGTTATGTACTTGGTAGAACAAATGTTATATCATATGAGTGGAGTACAGTTGAGCATAAAATGAAGATTGTAAATTGGGATGACTGCTTAAAACCCCCTCTAAACATCACAACCCTATTTATTCCCACCTATAGTTTTCACCTCTTGACTAAACCACCCAAAAATACAGATCTCTTTACATAGTCCCCCGTTCTTTGTAGTTCTGCCCAGTCCTCCCTCTCTAATCAATTTTGAGATCTCAATTAAAGAATGGTTAATTGCGTTCTGATAAACAG